GCTGCTAAGACTCTGAATCTAAACCTCGATACGGCACACCGATGATTGAGGGAGAGAATATATCCTGGTTAGTCGGGATTCACTCCGATTCAAAAGCTCGGTCTGCTGGAACTGTTTGGGGCGAGTCACCCCAAAAGGTTTTTTTTTTAAAAAAAAAAAACAAGAGCATTTATAGCTCAAATCTTTTAAACCGAGGTCTCTCGACCATGAGAACTTGAAGAGGTAAATCCCAGAGGTGGTTATTCAGCCGGTTCTGACCAGTTTTGGAGAACCAGTAGCAAAACTTTTGAGTAGTTCGGAGAACCGGCAAATGCTGCCTCTGACTGGCCCCGCCCCCATCTATTCTCCGCCTCCCGAGTCCCAGCTGATTGGCTACGTCTTCTTTGGTTGCCCTGCACAGGAGAATGGAGCTGGAAAGCAGGTTAGTGGGATGGGGAGGGAATACGGATTTTACAGTATCCTTCCCCCTGGAGTGGGGAGGGAATGGGGATTTTGCAGTATATCTCTCCCCTGCCACACCCAATAAGCCACGCCCACCAAGCCACGCCCGCAGAACCTGTAGTCAAATATTTTGAATCCCACCACCGGTAGGGACTTCAACTCCCAGAGTTCCTGCTGCTGGCTGGGAAATTCGGGGTGAAGTTGCCAAAGGAGAGGAACGCTAATTTAAGCAAATAAAGCCAAAATAAGGCCTTCCTAAGGCAAGGCTGCCCAACCTTAGCAACTTTAAGGCTTTAAACACCAATTGTGATATTTCTTGACCTACTGAGCAAGACGCGCTAAGCTCCTGTTTGATCTCCAGGGCATGTGGCCTTGATAGTCAAGTCTCGCTGAATTCAGCAGAGATTACTTCTAAATAAAGATTCGGAATATTTCCGTATTTGCATGATCTGAAGGTCTTAACGTGACATTCACGGTCTTTCTCTTCGCAGAATCTTCTGAAGTCAGCTGAGATGGAGAGTTGAGCAACTGGACTAAATTTTGAAAGCATCCCCTCCAGTAAAAAAAGATCTCTGTGCCGAGCTTTTGAATGGATCTTATGGGAGTGGATTTTATTTTGGTACCCGAAAATGGACAGAAATTAGATTTGACTTCAAGGGGCTCTTACAACCCTGATTTTTTCTGTTTAAACCTTGACTTAAGATCTTGAGAGACGTGAACAATGGGCCCTCTCCAACAACGTGAATTTCAATCTGGAGAAAAGCAAAAATTTACAATTAGGAGGGGGTGGAATCAAAGGTGTAAGTAGAGATTAGGCGAGACCTGGCTCAAAAACAGTAACTGTGAGAAGGATCTTGGAGTCCTAGTGGGGGATTCCTTGAACATGAGCCCTTAGTAGCCAGAAAAGCTAATACGATCCTGGCTTGAATAAACAGAGGCATCGAATCATGGTCACGTGAAGTACTAGCGCAGCAGGAAGGAAAGAAGGATGAAGGAAAGAAGGGAGGGTAAGAAGGAAGCGTCTTCCAGGTAAATTTAAATGTATTAAAATGTATCCTCATAAAACAAGAAATAAAAATATGAAAATGGGAAGGAACTATCAAGAAATAACTCCAAGGGGCATGGAGTCATCACAAGACTGGGGATGAGGCAGGAAGGGAAGGAAAGAAGGGAGAAAAAAATGGAAAAGGAGGGGAAGGAAGGAAGGAAAAGAGAGGGAAAGAAGGAAAGCAAGGAAGGAAATAAAATAAAATAAAAACGTAAATGTATTAAGAGGTACACTCAGACTAAAGAATATTGGAAATAGGAATGGCGTAGCTAAATCAGGAGGATACTGCTACCTAAAAACAAGGCCTCTTCCAACGCCTTCCTGAAGTTTTGACTTTCCATGTCAAACTAACGGCAGCGTATTGTGTGGATCAAACGTATTGACAAGTGAACGTAAGGCACGTGGGATGACACTGCAGAATTATTTCTTTTTCTTTTTAAGGAGAGCCCCCCCCCCCCCCGTTTTAGCCTACCTCTGATTGTTACCTCTATTTTTAATCTGGGGCGGGGCGGGGAGACAGGGGAATTACACAACCCGAAAGGAGAGAAGCGTAGCGGTATTTGCTTTGCGGCTAATGATTGTCTAGCAGGGAGGGTTTCCCCAGGTTGTCCGCTAAGACTCCAAGATCCCTCAGTTACTGCAATTGAGCCCGGTTTCACCCAGTCTACATGTGTCCTTTTGGTTTTTCTTGCCTAAGTGTAAGACTTTATTTTTCTCTATGTTGAAGTTCATTGTGTTAGATATGGCCCAGTGTTCTAATCTGTTGACATCCATCTGGATCTTGAGCCTATCTTCTAGGGTGTAGGCTATTCCTGCCAGCTTAGTATCATCTGCAAATTTGGTAAGTTCCCCTTCTATTCCCTCATCTAAGTCATTAATGAAGATATTAAAAAGTACTGGGCCTAAGATAGAACCTTGTGGCGCTCCACTGCTTACTTCCCTCCAGGTAGACTTAGGTCCATTAAGGACTACTCGTTGAGTATGGTTTGTCAGTCAGCTGCGAGTCCATCTAGTGGTGGTGCTATCTACCCCACTTTTCCCCCCTACTTCAACACCCAGAACTCGGTCCAGGTAGTCCTTGAGTTAGAACAGGTCATTTAGTGACCATTTGGGGATCGTAAAATTTAAAGAAAATCCAAGAAGAACCACAGAAAAGAAAGGGTGAAATCATGGACAACCATTTCCAACTTCTGTGTTCACCTGAAAGCTAGTAAGCTTCTGTAGATTGACCCTCCTCGCCTGAAGGGTTAAATAGAACACAGTGTCATATTTTTCTATTGGGAACCTCCCTGTTTTAAGTTCTCCTTTGGTGAACAGCTCCAGGTGCTGAAAAAGCCAACAATTTCAACCTCTTTCCAGGGCCTGCTGGTGGAACATTTTAGAATATAGAATAGAATAAGAATAGGAATAAGAATAGGAATAGGAATAGGAATAGAATAGAATTCAATAGAATAGGAATAGAATAGAATTCAGAATAGGAGAGGAGAGGAGAGGAGAAAAGAAGAGAATAGGAGAATGGAATGGAATAGAATAGAACAGGAAAAGAATAGAACAGAATACAGGATAGAATACAATATGGAATGGAATAGAATAGAATAAGAATAGAATAGAATAAGAACAGAATAGAACAGAGTAATGGAATGAAGAATAGAATAGAATAGAATAGAATAGAATAGAATAGAATAGAATAG